AATCTATTGTAATTTATATTCATATTTTCAAAGTAATTGTTTTAAACAAATAAAAAATAAAAACAGCAAAAATACCGAAGTCCAAGGAAAATTCAAATCGGAAAGTCCCCTATAAAATGGCAAAATAAAAAGCTCAAACACATCAATATGCAGTAACGATAATACAAATTGTACATTTACTGAGTAAAGAATCATTCAATTCTTTTTAACTACACTAATATCGTGTAAATAAAACATTCACCAATGGATTTACAAAAATACTGAAATTTAAGGTAACTTCAAAAAGAGGAAGTCCAAAAAACTAAAAAAACACAGCGCTCGACTATATCTACCAACGGAACGATTTGGTACATGCATTTTCAAGAAGATAAAAGTACGTATCTTTAAACATAACCACAATCGTTGTTACAAACATCTGCAGAACAAATCTTTCGATTTTCAAAGTCAAAACGATTTCTTTGATTTTTCAATGCATCTTTCTTCTTTCTGTCCTTCTGAGGCACATGGGAGCTGCTGTTCTCCCTGTGTATGTTTGGAAACACTTGGGCCACAGAAATTCACTGGAATAATAATGGTATGATATGCTGTTGATCCCTTGACATCGGCTTTAAACACATATTTGAAATGTGTAGGAGGTATTGTTACAGGAACATAATGTGTTCCATGAGGATGAAGTACAAAGGCGGATCGAGGCACCTGTGTTGAATCAAAACGACAATCTCTCCCAAAATCATTCTGATAACGTGGAATTTTATTTTTCTCGCCATAACTGTTTGTAGAACTATTTTCTGATCCTAAATACCGACTGTATTCAGTGCTAGGGATAGAAGAAGTATAGCTTATTATTTTTTGCTTTCCATGTTCATTTTCATCATCCATTGAATCTAAAGATCTATTACTTTTGGGATGCCAAGGATTTCTTTCTTTAGAAAACCTTTTTGTAATATTGTGCTTAAATTTGTAAGCATGTGACTTATGGAAATCAATCTTGCTTCCATTACTGCCTTCGGATGAATTCTCCTCACTGGAGCATAAACTGCCTCTTGACCCGTTACCTTCATCTTGCTCTGTTGTATCCTCTTGATCAGACTGCAGTATAATGCATGATAAGCTTCCTTCTGACAAGGACTGGCTTCTGGTACTGCTGTATCCTGATGTTCGATTGGATGTTTGTTCTGATCGCCTTAACAAGGTACGAAGGTGTTCATCTTGTTTAATCATTGCCATGTTGTTTTCTGAAATTTCCATGCCTTGCAGCATTTGACCATTGCTGTGTGAGTTAGAATTTGAAATTTGTGCTTCTGACGTCCAGGAGTCATCGGGCTTTTCAGCTTGGACATCGGAATTAGTTTTTACTACAACAGAAAACAACTAAATATAATGTTTATACTATCGGTAGTTGTACATTTAGATGGAAAAACCTTCCTACATTATTATCCTAGACACAAGATCAAATTGACATGTCTTGTTGGAGACTATATATTTACCTTAAGGTGTTTTTTAATTCATTTTTATTTATTATTAGCAACACTTTTAACATAAGTATTAAAAATTATCAAATAACTAGAAACTTGTTTATCGATTTTATACATAAAAACAAAAAAATAACTGATGCACCAGGAGCACATGATACGTCTGTAGTTTGCGTCCAAGATAAAAGAATAAAACAATTAAATAAAAATTTCAAATATGCTTACTCTGTAATAAAATATACTACATATCTTTTATATAAATATAATAACATGTACATAATCCGATTTGTTGGAAAGTAAATTGGATATACAACAATCAAAACTCACCCAAATCTCCTAGAAAAATCAATAATTAAACAAAGAAGACTGATTGATTACACCATACACATGTATAATATTTTAAAACCTCGTTAGAGTTAAGGCTTTGCCCAAACTGTCTCATCTTCTTCAGACGGAAAATGCATTGACTGTTTGCATTAGCAACAAACTTAAAATATACTCAAAGCAATTCATGAAACATCCAAGACAAAACCATTTATATTACAAGGTAAAAGATTTATCATGCAGATCTGTAGTGCAAAAACTAGTACCTGACCAGTACTTATCGACTGTTCAACCAATCTTAAACATAACCGAAGATTAATTTGAAAATTACATCACCAGTTTTTAAACGGTCCACCCTATTTATGAGTATCTATTCAGATAAACTACAGAACAACTGGTCATGAAATTTTCTTAATGACTTTCAGCTTTGCCTAAGACTATGAAGAAGAAGTCACAACTAATATGGAATATAGAGTATAGTTTCTACATGTACGCTGTATTACAGACTATTGTCAAGACAGTATCACATAGTGGAAATAAGTAATTCAATGAAGTCTAGTTCATACGCTAATCTGAACTCAAATTAATACACAGTCATACATCATAACTACATAGATTTAGAAGTCTACTATTTCTAGTAAAATTCTTACTTTCAATGAAATCGAAACATCATAGAAAATAGTCTGTTAATACAGTTATTCCACACGTCACACAAATGTAACAAGAGAAACATTAGAATTATCTTTGTTTTTCGTGTGCATCTGTGAAGCAGTGTTACCGTATTGCATGTTGAGGCTAATTACAGAGCACAGATCCATGATTTTAAAAGAAATAGATGCATTTCCTTGAAAGAACAAAATGAATCTCGAAAACAACTGTATTAGTAGAGAATTGCAAAATGTGAAACAAGATGGATATTTGTTAACAAAAAAATTATCGTCTCGAGACTAAAATTTCATGAATGTCAAATTCCATCAGTTGAAAATAAAGGTATTAGATAAGACCAAGACAAGCGCATTTTTGAACTGGAAAGAAAGTTTATATTGGCTGTTGTCTGCTCTATGTTCGGGTTGTTGTCTTTTTGACACATTCCCCATTTCCATTCTCAATTTTATACAGTATGAAATGGACAAGATATTTTAAGCAAATTGTTGTAAATTTCCACATCTGTGAGATAGAAGTGGTGCATTTATATGGGTACTGAGGATATATTCACGTAAAATGTCAGGAACCCTTTCTTTTGCCCAAAACACTTGTTTTATAAAGATATAGAAACTTTTATAAAACAAAGAACATCAGAGTTTTTTGTCAATGCCTTTATTGATCAATCAATGTGGACCAAGACCATAAGAAACACCTTGAAATCATATTTAATAGATAGGGTTTTGATAGACACAATTTGAACAAGAGTTACTTCCCTTTTGTCACCTTGATAGAGGTTCAAGTGCAAACATTTGTTTACAAATAAACCAATTCAACTTGTTAAACTGACCACACTAGACTATAAAAAAAATGTTTTTCTGAACAACTTTTATTTTGTTTTAGTCTTGTTTTATTCAATAGTACCATCTATCTCCAAATATCAGACCTATGTCATATAGGAGGACTGGAAACAAAGAAGGAAACTGTTATTTTCATGAAATTGTCTGAGGTCAAAGATTTGGCCATAAGTCATTTAAGTAATTCAACTGAAACAAAGGTCATATGTTAAGAGAAATTTCTTTAGTTTATCATATGAAATTATAAGCAAATCTCATAATGTAAATTCAGAAATTATTGCGTGTTTTTAAAATTGCGAATTAATGGACTAAAATGCGAGATTAATTATTGCGATTTCAGGAAAATCTGCACACATTTTATGTATCAGAATAAAAGATATCAATATGCAAGATAAAAGAATGTGAGTTCTTATTATTGCGATACCCATTCAATCGCAATATTCGCATTAATAAAAACCTCACAATAATTTCTGAATTTACAGTAATCTCAAATCAAAAAAAGTGCTCACAGCATAGAATTAAGTAATAAGTGACTCCTCATCTCACAACATTTTCTAATACAAAGAAAGTTATATATCTACAAGGAATCAAAACAAAATTAGGATTACTTTCAGTAAGAGCAGGCATGTTGATTGATTAGCAAGAACATCTGACACAATTTTGAAACAAAGCAATCAAAAGATTAATGCGGCTGAGTATATTCAAATTGGTCCAGCAGTTTAAGCAAAACTTTTCTGAATTAACGGAAGGACGATATAAACCTAGAGATGGCAAGTTCACAATGATCCTTTGCGCAAGACGAGTTAGATGTTAACAACATGTCATGTCGCTACACATATAAGAATGATTTGTACCTGTTGATAACCGGAGAAATTTCTTGCTGCTCTGTTCTAAAAAGTTTGTCATTCTCTGATAGAAAGCATCTTTAGGATCCAGGCAATCTGTGTCGATTATTTGTCGTAGTATCTCCTCCTGACATTTCTTATATCCCATGTAAATATTTTCCTGACAGCATGGGTTAGCTCCACCACCATCCGGTGGTAATTCTTTCTCCATCATTTCTATAATCATATAAATGCAATAACTGAATATGAGGACTGATGATTTTCAAAGGATAATAAGCATTTAATATAAGTTGTATGTATGATGTTTGCAAAAGATAATACACAAAGGACTAATGCAACAAGATACAATCAACCCTGCTTCAATAAAACTTTGTTATAACGAAATTTATTGGAACCAGAGGTAAAACTTCGCTATAAACTTAATTCTTTATATAACATATTTCCCTATACAATTGTGACGTTTGTTGTAAACAGGTTTGACTGAACTTAATATCAATGTCAATTCAAATACTGTAAATTTATGAATTATTGCGAATAATACCACTGAGTATCGCAATAATAAGAACTTGCATATTGATATCTGATACTAATATCTGAATGCAGAATTTTCTGAAATCACAATAATCAATCTCACATTTTTGTCCATCGCAATAATTTCTGAATTTACAGCACTTATTCATTAAATCATTAAATAGAAATATAGAAACCAGAATGTTAAAATCATATACCATGGAATTATGACTAATGAGAGGGAGTTTTAAGTCCTGTCTGACCTGTAGAAGTTCATTTTTTGGTGAAAATATAAAAGCTCCTTTTACACTGAAACTTTTCAATACATTAACCTTCATGATGTTTCATACCTCTGAAATTATGCAAGTTCAACAGGTTTCGTATAAGCTTGGATGCCATTTCTATTATCTCTGTCTTCTCAATACGACCTTGACCCTGAATATAGAGGTAATTATGTTATTTTTTTGTAATTTACTGTGAATACATTTATATATCTAAAATGTAAAATTTTTGAGGATTCAGGAAAAATTGATTTTTTGTATATATATTTGATTTTATGGTTTTGACAAATGATACGGAAAAGTCAATAAGACATTTGTAAATGAATGAACACTCAGATACGAGGTTCCCCTTCACCTACGCAACCCATATTCATACTAATGATATAACGAACTATTCAACCTCAATACTTCAATAATAAACAAAATCAAAGTGATTGTGATCACTGAAGGATAAAGATTGCTTTCATTTTGCAATTTTGTGAATATGAAATAAAAAATTGAATTGTATTTAGCTAGGCACATTACAAATTTGAGTTGGAGTTATCTTTCTTTGTTCATTATTGTACATTTGTAGTTGAAGCTATGTTTATCACAGGTTTATACACCTTATACACCATGCATGACTTATGTAAATTCTATTAAAGTAAATTCTCCTTGACAAGTATGGTAATTCAAAAATGCAATTTGAATATCTCATTATAGCATATCAGTAATAAATTGCTTGATTGATTGATTGATTGGTATTTAACGCCACTTTCAACACTATTGTGCAATTTCGTGGCGGTCAGTTTTTATTGTTGGAGGAAGCCGGAGTGCCCGGAGAGAACCACCGACCTTCGGTAGGAAAACTAACAATCCTAGTCAATATGAATTTGAGTCGAGTGCACCTGCCACGTGCGGGATTCGAACTCAAAACCTCAGTGTTGACTGGCTAGTGATATAATGACTGGATAGGATCTAAAGAATGATCACTTAACTGCACTATTATTTTTGAACTATGAAACCTTGGAAGATTTAGATATCAAATCAGTACCATAAGGTTTTGAATTCATGCAATCCTTACCCAAAAAGTAGAACTATGAGCTATTGCTCACTAATGATACCCCCCTTTAAGTATTCAGTAAATAAAACAAAATTTAATTTTGTTTTTAGTATTTTACCTGTTTCAAGTAGCTTGGTGGGATAAGTCGACTGAGTTCTGCTAAGCAATTATTCATGCGATCTCGTCGCCTCTTTTCTATGATTCTGTGCGACATTGGATCCTTTAATACCAAATGACAATTTTTTAAACCATAAAAAACTCTTGCTTTAATAGTTTTCAATACTTGATTTGGCAGCCCAACCTCATCAGCCAGATGGCATGGGTTGGGTATTTGTTGGACATTTTATTAATGTTCTAATAGCATGTATGTATCTGTACGCCCCACAAGGGATCCGAATTGGAAATAAAATATGATTAATGTTTAATGTTATTAACGTAACTACACACACAAGATCTTACGGATGTGCGCTAGTCTTAATTCTATTCTTTTGATAATTCAGATATTTGGAATCCTCTGGTTTGATCCTTGTGGTGCCCGTTATAACCCCTTACTTTTCTTATCATAATTTTAATACATATAGTTTTATAAGCCATTTGGAATATTTTATAAAATCTTTTAACTTTTCATAGTTTTTGAAAGAAATAAAGTGCCATTGTTAATTGTATAAAAAATCTACAATCACTTGCCGCCAAAATTTAAATTTCATTTTTTTTTGTTACGTTATAATTACTATCAATTGAAAGCATTCTTTTGAAAAAAAACTTGCTATTTGAGACAGAGTATCAAACATTAAACATCCTTACTCGTTACAAGGTAAGGAACTATGGTGCTTTGGTTGTTTTGGTTATTTAAACATTATTGCGCCTTTAGGCAGTATTATTTGCATTTGATATATTTTTGAGGGTCAAGTAACGAACTATTTTAAAAAGAAACAAATTTAATTTTGCAGTGATGTGTGAGCTTTTGCTGTTTAAGATCTCTTTGTGGTTTTCTGATGAAAAACTAAAATAAAAGTGGTGTTTTTCGGCTTAAGGTGTTCAGTGTTGTCAAGTGCATGTAGGAATTTTGTGTCAAGAACTAATTATTACGGTGTTTTTCTTCCTTATCAAAATAAATTAAGTGTCCTAGTTGTCTAAAAGCTGACAGTCAACTTGTTTGGCATTCTAAATCTTATAACTCGGGTTTATTACAGACAAGATATTATAGAAAAATTACCCGTGGCAGTTTAGCTTTTTTTACAGACTGCATCTCCAATTCATCTGGTGATATTGCAAAATTCAAAGGCCTGAAAAAAACAATTACATGTGCTTTACATACACCTGCCCAAAATCTTTCTTATATTAAGTTGTGTAAGAGGTCATTGACAAAGTGTCGTAAAGAAATGTAATGCATGCAAGAGGACCAAATAGATGGTAAATTAGCTACATAAAGGTATATATTTGGTTCAAAATGTTGAGGAAAATTAACGGACCAACATATGCCCTTTTTTTCAAAAGCCGAAAAATTACTTCACAGCTTTTTAGCTATAGTTTGTGTTGTATTTGAGAAATTTAAGTTATTATCAATATTGGAGCTTGATAATCAATTTAAAACAATATCGGTTCACTCCTTTTGCATATAATTATAAGTTTTTTGTTATTACGAAAAAGAGAGGCGAAGGATACCAAAGGGACATTCAAGCTCATTAGTCGAAATTAACTGATAACGACACGGCTAAAAAAGAAAAAGGACAAACAAACAACAGTACACTTAGCACAACATAGAAAACCAAAGAATGAGCAAAATGAACCCCACAAAAAACTGGGGGTGATCTCAGGTACTCCGGAAGGGTAAGCAGATACTGCTCCACATGTGTCACCCGTCGTGTTGCTCATGTTAGTACAAATCCGGTGATAAGTCTAATTCGGTAGGTCACTTTCTGGGAAAAAGGGACGGATTGTAGTTACGACAATTGGAAAATATCCGTTGTCATCTGTGAAACGGATATTCCATAACGGTCAACCAATTCGTGATGGCGTCCGTAAAATTTAAGAAGATACGACTTCAACTTCACCACTTGGAACTATTTGTTTAGTTGCTTCCTTGTGAGCAGCTAACCTCTATCAAGGAAATAATGATAGGAAATACAAGCCCTGGAATATAGTATCAACTGGGAGATATGTACTCCGTATGCAGGCGCTGCTAGAATGTTGTTACATAGAAATGGGGTATCAGTTCTAAGAATATTAGACATTAATGCAGCTTGTGAAGATTTTCCTTCCTTAAACTACATGAACATTTGTATTTTTTAATTGATTGAGGGTTGAACGTCTCTGATAAGAATTAAGACAGGGTATTGAAATAGCGTATGTTCTGTGCTATTCTATATGTACACAGTAACAATTAAAAAAATACTTTTCTTTAATGATTTGTTAATGGTAACAACTTTTAAATCAAAACAATTTACAGCTCTTATTAAAAGATAACGTAACTAATGTAACACAGCAATTTGCAGATTCTATTTAAGTAAACAAGTGATACTGTAACCATTGCAACCCTGGGAAAAAATACTTACAGTAAAACGTTACCAAACCCTATACCTCACAATATGAATGTGTAACTATTCTTATGTAGCGTTACAAATTCTGATATGTTGATTTTAGGATTCATTTCTGGACATATATATGAGAGTCAAGTGCCAATTTCCAGCCTCGAAAAATAACTTTTTGATCGACATTTGATTGAAAACATATAAATATAATAGCTTTGAAACTTATGAAATTATATATTTTGTCCATTTTCCTCAGAGTCCTTAAAGTAATTAGAAAGTCTTAACAACAAATACACAATGCGTGATAATACGTTTTGCTACATGGCCTCGGAAAAATCAAAACAAATCTGAATAGCATCTTACCTTTCTGCAATCTCGAGCTTTGTTCTCTTTGCTGCATGTTTGTCAATGAAAGAATCAGACATTGAATTTTCACATGTATTCATTGTGAATACATTAGACACAATAAAGTCAAACAGTCGCAGTTCCAACTTTGGTAAATAAAGACCACAGCACATCTAAGGTGTCATAAAATGTATGCATGTGACGTTGGGCTATTTCTGATTGATGTTACGTTTGTACATATTAAGCTCCTCCTTCAAACAAGTCTGCCCAGCGGTCGAGTTAAAAAAAAATATGATTCAGAAAAGCTTATATTGTAATTTACTTTGATTTTAGTAAATAAACCAGTTGAAGGAGTTGTAAACAGTTTGGATAATGTTTACACTTGAAAAACATTTATGTCGGAACACATGCATCAAAATTAGTCATTGATTTTTCCAACATAACTCAGATGTATTAGCATGTGTGTGAATTATAAAAATATGACATTCGTGTAATGTGTAGACATAGATCATTTTACTTAAACTATCGATATCATGAGTCCAGCTGTACTTGTGGTTTTTTTTGTTTTTTTTTTTAATTTTCTATTAATCAAGGACTATATTACACTAACTTAGTATCAATCAATTATGTTGTTCTTTTGCATTTTTTTATCGTTAAAATCTCATGTTGCTCCATTGTGGGTCCGTTAATTTGAATAAAGCATATTCTTCTATGAACGACCTTTTCTAAGCTTTTTTCGTACAAACGTGAAAATATTTTTAAGCCAATTCAATTACCTCCCCCCCCTCCCCCCCCCCCCTTTTTTTATTCACATATTCATTATACAAAAAAAAAACAAAGTCAAAGCCGTCATAGCCAGGTTTAAAATAAATAACACATATTAAATTTCGTTCTTAAATATACAATTCCTTGGTTTTGGCTAACCATACTAACCTGGGGTCCTGGTGAAATAGTTTCGATTTCACAAGAGCGCTTTTCTGGATTTAACTTCACCAGGAACGTTATATATAATGTGCTCATAGATTTTTTTCCTGTGAGTAAGGCCATGTGCTATTTGGGAATTATCATTATCGTTTTAAAAAATACCATGTGACAATACATAACCTGGATACTGATTAAGTCGTAATACTTGACAACACGATGACCAAAAGAAAAATAACGAATAGACTCTACAGCAGTCTACAAAATACTGCATAAAAAACTAAAAATTGAGCCACATCTAGGTGTTCGGACGGATCAGCAGTTCCTTTCAAACTATAATGACATTCTCCATGTTACTATTGTTAAAAACACGTTGAAGAATACACATCGTACAATAAGTAAGTAAGTAAGTAAATTATTTATTATAGTGACATGTGTTTTTCACAAAATATAATATAGTGAAATATAAAAAAACAATAATTAGAACACCCGACCCTTTGGGTCAATGAGTCACTTTAAACATTAATGTCAATGGTACGACGAACAAAATAAATAAATTTTATCGAAAATTTTCATATAAAAAGTTTTTTCTCTTACTGAAAGCTTGCAATAGGTATTTAGCAGTTTTTCTCGGATGTTGACATAGTAAATATTTAAACTGTTCTTCATTTGACAGTATACATAAATTGTCTATTTGTGAGAAATGTTGCAGTCGCAGATTGTTGTAAAAGTTTATGAGGAAATGAAATTCGTTTTCCACACAGTTGTCACCACACATTTTACACAAACAATATATAGACGATTAGTCACTTGATTGTCACTTAGACATTATCAAATTTACAAAATATTGCACGCAAATACCTTAACAGGTGAAAAAAGGAGGGGAGCGTAATCGACCAAAATTGTATAAATATCGACAAATTTGTTTTTATGTTTAACTAAAAATCAAAAATTCAAATAAAGAGCGGAGGGGGAAGGGGGTGGGGGGGGGGGGGGGGGGGGGGTCGTGCGATTTCTACTCTCCACCAGAATCCTCTACTGCCTGCCTAATACTTACACTTAACCAAATTTCATTGAAAATTCAAAATGGAATGAAAAGACGAGGTGTTTTTTTATTACAAAGGATTTCATGGAATAGAAGAGAGCCTGGATGAGGTTTTCAAATTAGATAATAAGTGCCAAGACTGCAGAATAATGGGCCCACAAAAATAGGAATAGCGAAAAGTAGGTCAACAAAATTTAAAGAATAGAGAATAATAGGGTGCTAAAAGATAGGGAATAGAGAATAATAGGGGGAAAATTATGAAGGGTTGTTCGGGTCATAATTTATTTTGTTACACGTACGCTAGAGGTACGCGTAACAGGTCGTTCATGTACCCTAGAGGTACACATAACACTTTGTTCACGTACCCTAGAGGTACACGTAACACTTTGTTCACGTACCCTAAAGGTACACGTAACACTTTGTTCACGTACCCTAGAGGTACACGTAACACTTTGTTCACGTACCCTAAAGGTGCGCGTAACAGTTAGTTCACGTTGAGAAAATGGCCTCAAACATTTAAGGAATACAGAAATTAAGAAGCCCAATCCAGACCCTCATAGAAAAATTAGGTCCAACAGTATTTGTTCTAGACGAAATAAAGGGTATAAAAAATATTTGTTAACTCATTATTAGGAACTCATATCAAATCATTATTAGTAATGATTAAAAACCTGGATGCGCATCTGGTTAGTATTATATATCATCAGTCATTACGTATTATACGAAAATGATAGCTCTATTAAAAGTGAAAAAGGCCAAATAAAGTACGAAGTTGAAGAGCATTGAGGACCCAAAATTCCGAAAAAAAAGTTTGGCTATATACAGCCAATTCAATTCATTCCTGGAGATAACAATTCTTAGTACTTCGAAAAATTTAAAGCTTTGTAAACAGTTAATTTATAATTATGACCATACCAATAATAAATCATGTTAACACAGAAGTACTGACTACTGTGCTAGTGATACCTTTGGGGGTTGAAACCTCCACTAGCAGTGGCATTGATCCAGTAGTTGTAAATAAGCTCATCATAAATCCCAGGATTAAAATATTGTACGCCAGGCACGCGTTTCGTCTACAAAAGACTCACCAGTGACGCTCGAATCCAAAAAGTCACTGATGTTAATTTATTATACTGCGAAGTACTCAGTACCTTTTTCGAAATGTTAAACTTGTATATTAACTTTTATTATCCATTGTAATTGCAAACAAATGTTGGAAGTGTAAAACTTACAGTGAAAAGGTGTCAAAAGTTTGAGAAAATTGCCAATTACACAATAAAAGAAAATAACATTTATAAATTTTGTACGTCCAAAGTGGTGTTCTTGATATTGATATTTAATATTTTTTATAAATCACATGGATATCCACGCTTTTCCTATTAGACGAGTGACCTTAACCTAAAAATATCATTTTCGGCTGAACTAAGTACCACTCGAAAGCATATCATCTGATTATCTTTTTTTCCCGGTCGTCAAATATACGGTGCAATTTCCGTCAAATCCCGATGAAAGCCCAGGAACAGACGATTTCGTATTTTAAAAGATTTCAGCATTTTGGGATATTCTGTCTCCTGAATAATTAAATCGGTATGGAAATATAAAAAACGTTTTAGATCACAGGTTAATAGTCACTTATCAAACGCACTTTAAAATACTAATGATGTATATTAAAACATAGTGCCTTTTTCCGGAAATTCTAGTGAAATGATAAAAATTAGTGAAAACCAAAATATTTGTCTGTTATTCAATTGTTAATCACCATAACCCAAATAACTCATTTTATTTAGTGTTGAAGAAGTTCTTGACATCATCAAATTAATGCAATCATGCTTCTTGATAAATAAGCAGCCAATCATAACAACTAACACAACGGTTGCCCAAAATTTAACAATCTGCAAAAAGACAGCTGTTTAGCTCTTCTACGTTCAAAAAATTGATGCAGTCAATATTAGGTTGAAGAAACACAAATCTTAAAAATGTGAAAGTGTTTAAAGGAAATAATGTACGCGGGCCGGATTCATGTTTCTTGGGGGAATAAAGGGAGCGAAACTATTTCAGTATGAAAATCAATTGGCAGCATGAGACACTCTCTTCCTTTCTTGTTATTTTGTTTGTAACTTCATGATTAATATTGAAGGAAATAATGGACTTTATATATGTATATGTGTATATCAAGCTATCCCCCCTAAAAAAACAAAAAACTAAATACATAAATATATAATTACATAATTAATTAATGAAAAGTATAATTTCAAATATTTCTCTTATACAAATAAGAGATTTGTTTTCTTGGTTGCTTCAACGGCATCGTGCATTGACGAAAGAAGTAAAAATTATTATAATATACTAGACACTGAAATTGTTCTTTGTGCCTCTCCGAAGTAGAAGACTCTATCAACCAGAACCTACGTAATTTTCTTGTAAAAAATTGCCAACTGAATTGCTGTTGCATTAACTCACAGTCTATATCTTAATTTTGATTTGAAAATTCTAGCAATTCGCAATAATTCTAATTAAAATAAGACTTTCTAAATAGTTAAGATATTAGTAGTATAAAGAAAGAAATTACTGTGTAGGTGTCACAACAACAATTCAACAAGAACATTTTGTAAAACTGGGGAACCTCTTACAAAACTACAGTTACATGTAACAAATAAATTTGCATAATTGAGACGGAAAGATAGATATGTATTATGTATTTATTCCAAATTTACTTGGGCATGATTTTGGATTAATGTTTTATGGTAGATGTGCCACATAATGTTCTCATTTAATGCTTTCAGAAAACAGGATTACTATTTTAGTAGATTAATTTTCACGCATTGATTGAAAATTGGCATGCATAGTAAAAGAGAATACATATACAATTTGGACATATATTTTCACAAAGAAGTTATGCTTAAGCTAAAATATTTAGACAATTGTGAGAAATGAAACTTGTGGGAGACTTTATCATAAAATTGAGAATGGAAATGGGGAATGTGTCAAAGATACAACAACCCGACCATAGAGCGGACAACAGCCGAAGGCCACCAATGGGTCTTCAATGCAGCGAGAAACTCCCGCACCCGGAGGCATCCTTCAGCTGCCCCCTAAACAAATATGTATACTAGTTCAGTGATAATGGACGTCATA